ACTACAGGTATCCATCATCTTTGGTCATGAACTAAGTTAAGTGCTGTCAAATTTATGCTTGGATGAATTAGCATATGCAAGAGACTATAGATCTGACTGCCAATGATGATTTTTGCACTAGTCCAAGGTGACATAGAAACTGTAATGACAATATAGCATATTTACTCATTGCTGAATTTATTCACTTCAAAGGACTGAGATTGTTTTTGCTGATTTTTTGGTGTAAATATCTTATTTTTAAAGAAGATAGATGATTCTTTTATTCTGAATGTGCTTGTCAAAATAAAGTTGACAGTTTTATATTTGTTCTTCCTTATTTGGGGAGGAAGCTTGGCTCTTCCACAAAGCAATGTTTTGGAAATCATTGACCCAAGAATCTGGGATTGCAGCTGTCTCCATAGCTTTCTCAGCCTCACTGCTAATGATACTGAGGCCAGATTTTTTGTTGCTGTTGCTGTGCATGATTGCCTGTGTACCAGAATGTCTAGCACCATCACCAACAGCGACTTGCTAGACTGCTAACAACCCACCCTACTCAGAGGTTACAATGAAATGACAGGATTTTTTTGCTTGTTGATGAAACTGAGGTTTAAGCTCAGCCTCGTGCTAGGCAGGTACTCTACCAACTTGAGCCATTCTCCTAGCCCTTTTTGCATTGGTTATTCTTGAGATAGGATCTCACTTTTTCCCTGGGCGAGTGTGGACTGCAGTCCTCCTATTTGTGCTTCTTTGTATGGCTGGGAGTGACAGGTATACGCCAACTGTGCCCAGAGGTTTGTTGAGATGAAGTCTTAGAAACTTTTTGTGCTGTCTGGGCCTGGTTTTGCTATGCCCTCAATTGCTGCCTCCCAAGAAGTTGAGATGACAGACTGTAGCTACTAGACTTAGCTAGATTTCATTTTTCATGTTTTGCATTTGTTTTTGTTTCAGGTAATCATGCTATTCAGCTCAGGCTGATCTTGAACGTGTGATACTTACAATAAAAAATGTCACTGATTAGGTTTGCTGATGTAAATCTGAAAACCCAGCCATCAGGAGGTTGAACTAAAAGAAATGCTATTGGAGGACAGCCTCAGCTCTATATGAGTTCTAAGTTCATGGGCTTCATTGCAACACCTGCTTTCAATAATAACAACAAAAAGTCTCCAAATATGAACACATGTCTGCTTTGTCTGCAGTATCTGTGGGGGTGTGGTAGTGACAAATGATCTCCTCCCCTATTGATTTGGAGCAGAATTTTTCAAATTATGGTCTCAAACCACTAGTGCATAGTGAACTTAAGGGCTTAAGAGCTACATGAAAAATGCAATACATAAGAAACAAATCCTTTCAATACATGGTGTTGGGGAAATTAGATATCCATAGGAAGAAGAATGAAATTGGACCCTTCTTGCTCACCAAGTGTAAAAATAGTCTCAAATAGATTAAAGATTTAGATGTAATACATTACACTACTAGGATAAAATATAGAGGAAATGCTAAACTATAGAAGAAATATGAGACTAAAATGTAGAGAACATTGGGAAGTTTAAAGATTTGGGGGGCTCAAGATCTTATAAGCACAAGAAATAGACAAATGAAATGGCATCAAACTGAAGAATGGAAGCCAAGGCAGAGACAGTCTACAGAAGGGAGAAAGTATTTGCCTTTCTTCTTCTGACAGAGGGTTAATACTAAGAATGCATTAGAAAAAACTTTACAGCAACAAACCAAGTAATCCAATTTTTAAAACAGGAGATGTACACACGGCACTAGGTGCATACCACAGTGTTCAACACCGTGGATAGATCTGTAGTGGGACGGCCGAGGATTGAGGAGTTTCAGCAGATGTAGAAGAGGACACTCAATGACAGCAAAGATGGATTTTTACTTTTCTGGACCTCATACTTTTCTAACAGTTGGGTAAAACTGCCACTTGACTGATGATAAGGTTTTCCCACCTGATTAGAGATGAAACTGAAAGAGAAATTGAATCCAATGTTAGAGAAATAAAGTTGCAACTGACATATACCAGATTTTGAGGCCCAATCAATGTTTACTATGTATGGATGTATGTGATGCTTCAAAATATAGGGCCTTTCTTCTTACATTTAATCCCTATGAAAATCTTAAATAAAATTCTCTGTCTCTGTCTTTGTCTGTCTGTCTCTTTTATTACTTTTTGAGGCTGTACTAGAACTTGAACTCAGGGCCATAAATGTGGTGCTCATCACCACTTCCAGCTTTTTGCTGGTTAATTAGAGATAAGTCTCATGGACTTTTCTGCCTGGTTTCAAACTGTGATACTCAGATCTCAGCCTCTTGAGTAGCTAGAATTATAGGCAAGAGCCACTGGCACCTGGCTTTTCTTTTGTTATTCTTTCTTTCTTTCTTTCTTTCTTTCTTTCTTTCTTTCTTTCTTTCTTTCTTTCTTTCTTTCTTTCTTTCTTTCTTTCTTTCTTTCTTCTTTCTCTCTCTCCCTTCCTTCCTTCCTCCCTCCCTCCCTCCTCCCTCTCTCTTTCTCTCTCTCCTCTCTCTCTTTCCTTCCTTCCTTCCTTCCTTCCTTTCTTTCTTTCCTTTTTTTTCTGGACCTGGGTGCTGTCCCTCAGCTCTTCAGCTCAAGGCTAGCGCTCTACCACTTGAGCCACAGCGCCACTTCCGGTTTTCTGGTGGTTTATTGAAGAGTCTCATACGCTTTTCTGCTCAGGCTGGCTTCTAACTGTGATCCTCAGCTCTCAGCGTCCTGAGTAACTAGGATCACAGGAGTGAGCCATGGGCACCTGGCAGCATTATTTCTATGATCATTTGGCACAAATGGAAAAGGGAAGCACAGAATGGTCACATGGCTGGGACCTGGCTGAGCAGTGACTCAACTCTGTGGTCTTGTCCGCTTTACAACTTCTTAATGATGTTTGCTATCCCTACCCCTGAGCATGTGAGAACTTTCTGTCAGGCTCTCGTAAAAATGCTAATGAGTTATCAAGGTTCATTATTGTAATTTGAGGCCTAGGTAGAAAGACTCACATGCTAGTATTCTGCCTGCTTTCCCACCTTGGCTCACTGGCTGCCATATTCTACCACAGAGCTCTGCCCCATGCTCAGAGGTGGGGGCCAAGGGTGTTAGGAGAACTTAGTGCAGTGGTTGGGACCCGATATGTGAGATGGAGTTGAGGGGGCAGGTCCTAATGGGGCTCAGGTTAAAGATGCTGTCTGTCTGCACCCCACTTTACCACACTCAGCACATGGCAGGCTTTTTTCTTACCTAGTTGTTTCTGTCTCTGGCTGGACTGGAAGTAAGTGAGAAGTGTCTCCATCAGGGTCACTCTCCAGTTCATTTTCCAGCCCAAGGCCTGGTGTGAGTAGTAGTCTCAGTCCATTTTCCATTGCTGCAAGAGAATGTCTGAGACTGGATAATGTATAAAGGAAAGAAGTTCGTTTAACTCATGGTTCTGAAGGCTGGAAGTCTGAGATCAGGTGATTACATTTGTGGAGGGCCTCATGGTACATCACACATGGCAAAAGAAGAAGAAGAAGAAGAAGAAGAAGAAGAAGAAGAAGAAGAAGAAGAAGAAGAAGAAGAAGAAGAAGAAGAAGAAGAAGAAGAAGAAGA